GGGTTTCTGACCGGGTTAACCCATCGGACAAATTATTTGGTGATACTGTGCGAATATTGGGAGTTGGGTGAAATTCCACGCTCCTCACACCATAATTTCCTAACTCGGCGAAGAACAGATGTTTGACCGCTGTCGTCAACTCGACCAAGAGCACCACAGGAACTCAATAGCCTGGGACGTGACGAGAATTCCATGGGATCACATCAACTAGACTAAGCCTGTGAATAAAATAAAACAAATATGCTGCCTAAATTAAAAGCTGCTTCACGCCAACATTTAACAACGAAAAGTTTTATTATGAAAACATAAGAATAGCTTTTACCCCTTCTGGCAATAAAACAGGTGTGTTAAGATGTTCAAACACCAAATATAAACCTTTTGCAAAAATCAAGTTCGCATTGACCGCACGTACTTGTGGTGAACATGCAAACAAAGCATGTTCTGATGAAATATGCCATTGTCTTTGAAACTGATTAGCCTACACCAGAGACAGCAGCCTTCTTGAGGGCCTCGTCTCACCAGTGTCAGACCAGAGAACAACGCCAAAAGGCGAACAGCACAAAGACATATTCTTGGTTCTTTCGGTAAAGTCACGTAGAAGGGAAATAATGAAAATAAAACATGATAAAATTATCACGACGTTTCGGCCACAACGCAAGCAGCCGTCCTCAGGTGAAGAAACAGAGCTGTCGGAAAGACAGCATCCTAATGTCAAGGCGCTCTCCTCCTCCCACCCAGCTTAAAATACGCTTAGCAGTGTTCATTAGGATGCTGTCTTTCCGACAGCTCTGTTTCTTCACCTGACGACGACTGCTTGCGTTGTGGCCGACACGTCGTGATAATTTAATTTGATGTTTTAATTTTATTATTTTATTATTTCCCTTCGACGTGACTTTACCGAAAGAACCAGGAATATGAATCCCTGCAGTCACGAAAGCTTTAAATCGAAAGCACAAAGACAATGCCACCATCAGAGCATTTATAGCTCGAGGTGATCAGCTACAAATTTGGACCTTTTTTTTGCCTGTATCAAAGTATGAAAAAATAAGAATAGGTTTTACCCTTTCTGGCAATTAAACTGCTACAAGTCGACTCGACGAAGAGAAGAACGGCGAAGGGCAATACCCAAGCCGAGACTACAACGCCCACAGGGTTCGTCGCTGCCGAGGCTAAGACCGCAGCCAGCGGGTGGTGGCTACGCTGCACGTGGCATGTACATCCAGCACTGTGGAAGAAGCAGCAGCGAGGAGGGGTTTGCTGGATCGCCACACTAATGTCGCGAAACTTCCTTTTCGTGGGCGTTGACGAAGAGCCGTAATACTGGTCAGCCAGGAGACGGCGACACAGCAGAAATGTGGACTTCACCTTATTCGCTTGAATGGGATTGAGTGGGTTTCCTCTGGATGCTCCGTGTAAACGCTTCATCAATTGGCCCGTAACACCTTAACATCTAGGGGACCACAGAGCCTGGGCAAATCGTTGGCGGCTCACCGCGTGTCTGCCTTCCCGTTCGTCTGTGGTTCCTCGTGCCTCTTGAGTCGTCCTCTCGCTCGAATCGAGTGAGCAAATACTGTGCAGCGGTGCCGTTACCAGTTGACATTCTACTGTCACCACCATCATCGTGACAAAATTATTGGCTAATTAATTATTTATTTTTTTAAACAACGCTAACTCAACGAGCGCTGACCGTGCGTTGATCATCTTCGAAGATCTCCCTGGCCTCCTCGAAGTTGCACGTCTCCTCGCGGCACTCTCTCTCCAGCGAGCCCTGCTTCGTCTCCTCCATGCTGAAGGGCGAATTAGCCCTGCGCGACCGCGCAAGCAGGGACGCCGCCTCCAGCCGCGACACGAACACTGGGTGGGGGGGGGGGGGGACATTGACGGCCCCAACAGTTTCAGTTTCATTGATTAGGTAGAACCCTGTGAGCCATGCGGCTCTTGACTCGAGTGCAACCGCAACAAACAAAAACATGAACAAGAAACATCTTAAAGTGACAACACGGATTAAGCTCGTGCGGGGCCTGTAGGATGCTATAAAGAGTCCCTAAATAAATAAAAACACAAATATTAAAACACAAATGTTTAACTTGCATAGTAAAGTAATTGTATTTTTTCATTTGCTATGCAGCTAGATAGTACGACAAATCGCTAACCTAAAACACCCAGTCGTTCATAAAAGTTGAAGGCAGTATAGTACTATAGTAATAGAGCAAGTGCAGAATCACTGAACCGGAATTGATAGATTGAAAGGGTTCAGCGAGGGTTCCTTGAACGTGCGGGGCCCGTAGCATCTGTAGCTACTTGTGCTACTCGGATAATCCGGCACTGGGCCCCACGCCACCACGTAGGGCTTTTTAAGCCAGTAATGTACTGGGATCCACATTAGATTATCTGGTTTAGGCCCACGTAATTATCCGGCCGAATCCATGTCGCGAAACCCTTCAAATTTAACGGGCAGCTTGCGCAAGGGTTTTGACAAAGCGTTGATGTCGTTTCAGCTCGCTCGTCATGAGTCGAACTATTCTCACGACCGCATTTAGTGATTGTATTGGATCGCTTTGCTTGAAACTGCTTCAAGCACCGTGAAGTTCTAGGTTATGATCTGAAGAGGCTTGGCTCAGACCCGACGATGTAGCCTAACCCGAACATGAATCAAGAATCACAGTGGCTGCTCTGTTACATTGTCAGGCCACCATCGGGCTCGTGGTGCCAAAACACGATGAAGCTTCCATCTTCAAAGCTCTCACTTTGAGGACCTGGTTCAACAACGTCGCAGCGATGGCGCAGTCTCTCTGACCTGGCCATTATGAATCCCCTGGTAAATAAAGAGATACATTAAGCCCCAGGGTTTAAACCCAGGCTCTGGACGATGTTGCACAAGTGTCTCTGACCCGGCCCTTATAAGCCCCCGTGAGACGCACGCACATCAGAATCAAAATATTTAGACTGGAAGAATCCGATAAGCTATGAAACTCTTGTTCACAGATGTCCAGTACGGGCGGGTTAGTAAGTTACAACATCAAACAATAGAAAAACGCGATATGAGTGCAAAATTGAGATCATGGTAAGCAAGTAACTAAATGTAAATAATAAAATAACGAAATTATATAAGTCCGATTTATCCCACTTGGGCAAGGCAGCAAAACAACAAAACAGCTCCAGACAGCACCAAGACAACACAGCAGTAGTCTCTCAATAACATGCCAGATTAACAGTGAACTATCGATACACAGGTGATGATTAACGTTCTAAATCACATTAGCAAATGTGACTGCCGTATCCAGCACTCAGGACAGAACTCAAGCCCAGGAGCTCAGCCTTTGGCTCGGCCACGTTGAACCACCAAAAGCCATTTAAAGTGTATCGGCAAATCAAACGATTGCTTGGACACTCACCTCTGGCACGAACACATTGAAGAATGAGAAACAGACACAGCGATAAGATGGCTTTAATGTTCATTTTGAGATGTCTCGTCGCTGGTGGCTCTCAACAAGTCAAAAAAATAGTTTTGTGCAGAAATAATGTTTTTCGGCGTTAATAATTTCCCAACTCGCGCTCAGCATTCGTTCCTGCCTCCCCCTGTGGCCCAACCCATGCTCCCGAAACCATCCAACTTACAATCTACAATTTGAACAGCAACAAAAAAAACCCCATGGATGTTTAAGGGAGCAGAGTACACGACCGTTTGACCTGTACAACAAACAATGCCACATGTGCAGAATTGTGTGACGTTGCTGTTCCTTCGTCGTCGGTTTGAGATTCGCCTCCGTACCGCCCAGAGAGCAGCGCTTGATGACACATGCTCACATTTGGCTGATGATCTACACGGCCAGGTCATCCTACAGGGTGGTGACCGTTGCCATGAAAATGTGGACATGCTACTGCTGGCACACGCCTGGGATTGTGATCAGCTGTTGACTGCTCTGAGTGACATTCTTCCAGCAGTGGATTAAACTAAGTAAGGCCTACAGAAGCGACCTGACCACAAATGATAGCTCAACGAAGTGGCTTATCACGTGGAAATTTATAACAGCCCAAATACTCTAAGCGCATATTTCTAAATGTGGAGGGAATTAACGGAGGACACGGAGAAAAAAAACCACGCGACCACGGGGAGAGACATGCAAACTCCAAATATACAGGCATCAGGATCGAGATCGAACCCACAACCTCCTGATTGATCACGACTAGCAGTGATGATGATAACTTCGGCAAAACCCACATACACTACACACACTCAAGGATGGCTTTACACTTATATAATATACACACAGGGTTGTGTTGTTCTACATTAATATGTTATTAATGCATTCGCCGATAGAAAGTCTCAGATATGCAGACCATCAGAGCTCCCCTCTTTAGTAATTTTTCTCGTATGGCATTTTTGGGGATTGCAGATTACAAATTGCCGTCGATATTTTGTATCCATTGAGTAACTGTATATTAGTCTGGCCTCGTGGCCGATTACCAGTAGAGTGAGTGGCTCGCAATTGGAAGGTTGCGAGTTCAAATCCTGTTTTGAGGTTGACCCAGCTCATTATCCCACCCCTCCCCCCCGAGGTCGATAAAATTGATATACCACTTTGTGGTGAAGTCAACTGTGGTTGTCCTCGCCCTGCCACACGAACGTGGCATTTCCACCACTGGCTCAGGACTGTAAATAAGAGATCAGCACCGCTTCATTTGAGCAGAAATTTACTTGGACCATTGGATTTTAACCTGGGGTGCCCTTTCTGGCGGAGGGGTGTAAGCGAGACGTGGCCAGATTTTTTAAAGAAGGTAAATCACCTGAAACACATGATCAGACCTACGTATTAACATTATACATATTGTAACGATTGCGAACTATGCAGTAAAGGTTTAAGAGCCATGTGCCCAAGTCCCTTAGAACTTGTCAAATCGATTCCTCCTACACCACGCATTTCATTCCAGGGCTGTCAGTGGAGGCAATCGATTCCTCGTGACGTCACCACAACCAGGCCACGCCTGCCACGTGACGTAGCCCGCTTCACCCGCACATCAGCGCACAGACGAAGCCCGAGACGGCACCGAGACATTTCCAAACTTCGCGTTTAAATTACAAACCGCGACAGCCGTGGGTGAAGCCGCGGGAGAGGTTCGATTGCCGCTGCCTCCGGGCGACCGCTGCTTCGGTTTTGCGGCCTTGCGGGGCCAACAGGTGACGGTAGCCCCCGCTTTGACGGGGCAGGCCGCAGCAGGCCTCCGCGGAGCCTTACGTGTTTCCTGAGCGGCCTCCCCCCATGGCCTCGGGCAGCGACTCGGCTGACGAGGAGTTCTTCGACGCTGAGGATGACGTGGACTCGACTCCGTCGCGGTCAGTTGACAAGCGCTTGAGATAAAATAAAACACGAAACGCATTTTAAACTAATGCAAATATATTGAAGTGAAGTGTCTGGCACGCTTCCAAGACGTCTGGTCAACCCGGAAAAGTAGACCAAGTACAGCAGTCGGTTTCGCCCAACCCCGTGGTTCACAAGGCCGTGGGAAGTCGCCCACTGAACTCTTTAAGATCAAACATTCTCCACAAAAACACTGCATTTGGTGGTCCGCGGAAATGGTTTTAATGTTGAGGGTGGTCCTCGCGAGAGTGGGAAGGGCCCCCTTGCCCCAGCAGTGGCTTGAGAGATTAATTCCGGAGCTGCTGACCGTTTTGCGGTGTTTGATTTGCTTGGTTCTTTCGGTAAAGTCACGTAGAAGGGAAATAATGAAATAATAAAACGTCGTGAGAATTGTATTTTGATGTGTAATTTTTTATTATTTTATTATTTTCCTTCTACGTGACTTTACCAAAAGAACCAAGAAGATGAATCCCTGCAGTCACGAAAGCTTTAACTCGAAATTTAACGTTTTGCAGTGTTTCGCTGCAAGTGAATTTTACACAAAAACGGGATCGTTGCCTTTGCGATACCGTGATGGGGAGGAAGGCTTTCGCCCAACCGTAGATAGAACTTGGGATGACGATGATTAAGTTGAGAAACGTCTGATTGAATTTGGTAGTTGTTGATAACGCGGGTCTGATTTTGCAATGGGTGTCATACGAAGCCTATGACTAAATCATTGTAAGAAAGGTTTTTAGATAAATAGGCCTTATCTGAAATGAATTGATGCACTGAACTTAACCCGAAATGCACCCGGTCTGGTCAGATCTCAAAAATGTAAGCAGGCTAGAGCCTGATTAGTGCTTATAATGAGAAGCACAAACAGGTTGTCATTGGTGGCGGTGGGGCTGTGTGCTACGTTGGGAACAACACTTTGCAGTGCAACAAAGCGATTGCTGTACTGGGATAAGTTTCCGTGTCTTGTGGTCTCTGCCTTCAACCCGGACTGACTAGCATTGTGAAGTATGGTCAGATAACGCTCACTATCCACACTTCGTGGGGGAAGTTCTCATCCAGCAGTGGATTGGCAGAAAGCCTGGAGATGTACCTGTCGCGTCGGCAGCAGTGAGGGGGGGGGGGGGTGACAGGTGGATATTTAATTGTATGACCTGGACCAAGCCGTGAAAGTGAATACTGTCACGGAAGATTTATCCAATGATTTATCCAATCAGACCAGATTTTGTACTACCACAGCCCTTACACAAAATATTCCTCATATTTTAAAAAATTTCAATTAAAAAAAAGAAACTTTTTTTTTAACACATCCCTTAAGCCACTTAGCTTTCTGTGAGTTTTGATGGGCCACTTTGTTGAGCTGTCATTTGTGGCCAGGTCGCTTCTGAAAGATAAGTGAATACCTCAGTGGGCTTTGCTTGGTAGGATGGGTATGATTTAGTTTATTTGCATGTGTTTGGGTGATTTATTTACCTTGTACTTTGCACTATAGTACTGTAAAAAAAAATTGTACTGTTGTAACGTTCTTACTCGCCCTTACTGGACATCTACGAAAAATAGCTTCATAGCTCATCGGATTTCTTCAGTATAAATAAATATTCTGATTGATATGGGTCAATTTCGACATTCAGTGTTTAATCAGAAGTCAGGCTTGTGCTTACCCGTTTTGGCCAGTCGCAGACCTTTCTTGGGTTTCAATTGAAACTAAGGGATGCCTCCTAATTTTAGTTTTCCCTGTCGGGTTAAATACTTAGGTTAGGATTAGAGATGAGGTGTTTTGGTGTGAAGTTTGGGGTTTGAAGGTTATGCATAGGGTTTTGGGGGTCGGGGTTAGTTTGTGGTTAATTTTAGGGGTTATGGTTATGGAAGTAGTACTTAACATTACGTTTCTGCATGGACAGTATTGAAATACAACTTAAATAAAGATTAACTTGTTGAAGTGTCAATAGGGCACCACGTGATTAGATCACGTTTATTCATCACTGGTCTGGCTGTGGTGTACAGTGGATGCCACTTGGTCAGGAGTGGTGAATGGATGGGTTTTCTTTTTTAAGGAATTGGACACGGCCTCGGAAATGTTGAGTTCCCACCACAGTCAGTTGGAGCACTTCAAATGGTTGTTTTAGTAAAACAATACTTTCTAAAGTAGCAGGTTGTAATGCGTCTTTGGCATGTTGTCTGACCTTTCACTTCACCTGCTGCAGTCTTCTGGACCCTAAAAGCTATTGCCGAGGCAGATGCTCTGGCTTACATTCACTTGATAATTGATGTTATCATTGTATCTCATGCAGTGTGACATTGCATTATCTAAGCAAACGGGTTTGGACTCAAACTGGGCCAATTATAACGTTCTAAAACAAAAGGCTGCACCGAATTCGTTTGGCAAACTAACACCTTCACTTTCCCAAACTTTTCAGAAATTCCATAAAGAGTATTTATTGTAAAACGTTTGAATATGAAGGAGTACTGCCAAGGCTTTTGCCTTTATAATAAAACGGCAATATAAATGGGTTTAACTCGCATTTTGCATCTGCAGGCCACATCTTCAATGCAGATATCCAGCCTTGTGACACCACAATTCACCCACCATTTGATCCGCCCTCCCCCCAATCAGCACTTTAATTTCCTACCAATCTTGAAATGTTCAGTCTTAACTTTGCTCTCCACACTAAAACCTTCCTCTGCTGATGGTTCCAATGGCCTGCCTGCTTTTGCCCTACATCTTGTGGGGAACTTCATTGCAAAACCGATAGCCCGCATATTTAGCTCTCACCTTCTTGAGACATCCATCCCTCTTGAACGGAAAACTGGTCTCGTGTACCCTCGTAGCGGTGGAGTTAACGGATGACCCTAAGAATTACTGCCCAATCTCAATCCTCTCCCCTCTCATCATGATCTTTGGGAACATCTTAAAATCACAAACTTAATATCAGAGAATATGCCGTATTCCATCCTGAGCAATCTGGCTTTCGATAAAAACACATTCCTGCGGAGGGAGCTGGTAGGAACGTTGGGTTGCTCGGTCAATGGCCAGGGTCAACGGCGGCGTGGTGTATTCCGCAAATATGCCGAACTGTGAGGGCGGGCACAAGCCGGCGTGAGTAGGTTAAACGTTGAGTTTTATAAGGGCACCACGGGGTGACCAGCCCCTCCCCACCCAGCCCAACCCCTCCCCACCCAGCCCAACCCCTCCCCACCCAGCCCAACCCCTCCCACCCCCCACCCTGCCCCACCCTCTCCACCCATCCCCTCCCTGCACGACGGACACAATAATCCCCTGTGGGCTGGTGTAACTACTCGAGACTCTTGGCTTAATCTTCAACGGTCTTGAATTTCGTCGTTATTGCGCCATCCTATTCCGCGACTTGCATTTGACACTGAAAACTAAAATGCCATTTTTTTTCAAATTGTGCAATCGACTGACTTGGCAACTACACATCTAACCGATTCCAAATTGTTTCCAACAATTATACATCTTCTGAATGGATCCCCATTACTTCAGGGAGTTCCTCAGGGTTCTTTGCTTGGCCCTATCCTGTTTTCTCTGTCAACAATCTAGGCATCTCCAATCTGCACTGACTTTAACCTTTATGCTGATGATACAGTCCTGATGGCTTCTGGAAATTCCATGGAGAAGTTAGAAGAGCATCTACAACATGACTTGATACTGGTAGGAACCTCCTGGTTACACCAGCCCACAGGTGATTATTGTGTCCGTCGTGCAGGGAGGGGCTGGGTGGGGAGGGGATGGTGGGGAGGGGCTGGGTGGGGAGGGGCTGGGTGGGGAGGGGCTGGGTGGGGAGGGTGGGAGTGGTGGGGCTGGGTGCGAAGGGGCTGCTCACCCCGTGGTGCCCTTATAAAACTCAACGTTTAACCTACTCACGCCGGCTTGTGCCCGCCCTCAGTCTGGCATATTTGCGGAATACACCACGCCGCCGTTGACCCTGGCCATTGACCGAGCAACTCAACGTTCCTACCAGCTCCCTCCGCAGGAGTGTGATTAAAGCTGGCTAAAACTCGCCATTGACCAAAGACGGGCACTGCATCGCACACTTTCAGACGCACTTCAGCGGCCGTCTGGAACGCTCTTCCTTCCGATATTAGGAAGCCATTGGAACTACGCACTATTGCGTCTAGATTGCTTTTTGTGTTTAGTTTTTGTCTTTCCCTTGCACTTCTGATTTAGCACTTTTGGCTTTGTAAGGTGGGAAAGAAGTGCAACATACATATATACCGAGTACCAAACAAGGATCTCATCGGCGCTGACTTTGTCTTTGACAGAGGCATTTTGAGCCCCCTGAGAGAAAGAGAACCCTAGAGCTAGGGCTTGAATCTATATATATAAAATCGTTCATGTCTGTCTGTCTGTGTGTGTGTGTGTGTATTTCGGCCCATACGCACTTTCATTGGACGGCGGTTGCCCCTGGCAACGGCTAGCCACGCCTTCGCCGCTTTCATTGGACCTGGCAACGGCTAGCGACGCCTTCGCCAAGGGCTGCAGTTTCATTGGACGGCGGTTGCCCCTGCCAACGGCTAGCCACGCCTTCGCCACTTTCATAAGCTCCGTATTTAATTAAATAATAGCCATTACACAGTGTTGTTGGAGCGCTGAGGGGGGGGGGAAGGAACGCCACCCGTACCCTGCCTCTTCCAAGCCGACAATTTTAGGCGAGGCCGCAGGCTTTGCACGCTACTAGGCCTCGACACCCACCACGCCACTCTGAGGTAAATTCATCAAAGTTTTTCCTACTCTTCACTACACCCCCACCACAATGTGTGCTATTAATATTACTTTTAAACCCAACGCGCCAACAATCGATTACTTTCATGTTCACTGTACAAATACTCATTAAGCTGGGTGAGCGTACTGCCAGTCTATCATGTACACTGTAGCCTGCTTATTAAGCTCGGTGAGCGTACTGCCACTCTATCATGTACACTCTAGCCTGCTTATGAAGCTGACTGCGTGTACTGGCAGTCT